TGCAGACTGTGCTACTCGGCTTTGAGGAGGGCTGGGTGTAGGAGCCAGCAGGCCCCCCAGATGGGCACATTTTACAGGCAGGTGGGAATGCAGGTCTGGCGTTGGTAGTGGTGTCTGAGTGGGAGCTGCCTGCACAGCAGGAGCAGGTGGCAGATGGGGCTGGGTGTGCCGCTCACCTGGGAGAAATCATGGAGATCCTGGGCTGAGTCAGCACTGCAGGGACACAGAGGTGTCTGGGACAAGGCCCCTGCCCTCCAGAAGCCCACAGCACTCTCGGAGAGCTAAAATCAGGGCCCAGGCTGGGCTGAGGCTTCCCTGGTCAGAGGTTGGAGAGGCCTGGAAGAGGTAGCTCTTCAGATGAATCTTGAAGAATGGGAAAGATTTTAATGAGAAAACAATGACATTCTCCTTCTTCCAGCTGACAGGATTCCCAGTGGATATCATTTGTGCCAACATGTTTGTAAGTGGGTGTGTGCAAGAAAGGATACATGTGTGAAAATGGATGCATGTACAAGGGCAAATGGGTGCAAAGATGAGAGTGTGTTTACAAAAATGTATTCATGGTTTCACATGTGTTGCGCATGCTTGCATGCATGTACATGCATGTGTTTGTGCATGTGCACACACGTGTGTATGAGCATATGTCTCAAAGGCAAGCGTGGACGGGAGGAGGATGAAGGAGGCCATTACTGTCTGGGACCCCCACTTCTATTTTATCGCCCTTCTCGTCTCTTCAGCCTCCAGGGAAGGAGAGGGCCCTCGGTCTAGTCCTTGAGTCTCTGAGTCCAGAGTCAAGGGCCTCCTGTCTTGTCTTCCCTCGGCTCTCCTGAGGAAATAACCTTCCTCTCAGACCAAACCAGGAAATGCTCCTGATAGCCATGTGAAGGACTGTTGGCTTTCTGCCATCCCCATTCCTTCTGCACATGGTCCTGCCCCTCTAATGTCAGTCCTTGGCTGCCTCTTCCTGCTGAGGGGCTGCCTTCCTGCCTGGGTAGACCCATGGGTCCAGGTAGGAAGGAAGGCCCAGGATCGAGAGCAGAGAGTTCTGGGATCCTGGGGCTGAGCCGGGGCTGGGGCCTCCAGAGCCCAGTTGGTGTCTTGCACTGGGATGCAGGAGGGTCCTCTGGCTTTTGAGTGACCAAGGGCTGTAATCCAGCCATGTGCCATCTCTGCCTGTCTGAGTCTGGCCATCCATTGCTTCCCTGCTAGGGCAGGACACCCGTCACCAGGGATGCATACCTGGATTATGAGACTTGCTCATGAATGATTCCAAAGGCAGTGGGGTGCTAGGGAGCACTGGGTATCCAGCTTGAGGCTTTGGAAATGTTACTGGTCCTTCTTTGTAGGTGGGCCTTAGTTTTCCCTTCTATAGGATGGGTGCCACCATGACCGACTGACTGCTGATGACTGGGGTGCTTTCAACACTGGAGAGGCATGCTACTTCCCCACTCAGGGGTCACCCCAGAAGGCCCAGCATCTGGAGGATGAGCCTTGAACCCTCTTTGCAGCCCTCTCTTCGCCTGTCTTGTCTCTGCCTCCCACATCACACCAGGCTGCCCCAAACCCTCGCCGCTCAGGCTCTGGAGTCCCAAAGACTTTGCATCTGCGTCTGGTCCTCGCTAGCTGTGCGGTCTTGGGCAGACCCACTTCTGAGCCTCGGTGCCATCACCTGTGAAACACAGACAGCAGCAGCCACAGTGCTAGTGTGAGGGTTCGATGAAGTAATGGCAGAAAACACAAAGTAAGCGCTTGATACACGTGAAGTGTTTGGGGGCCTTTATGAATAAAGGCTTTTCAGTTACCAAGGAGCCGCCAGTGAAAATGCGTGGGGACATTAAGGAATCATTTGAGATGCTTCTGACCAGCAGCTCTGGGGATGAGAGGGGCCAGGGAGCTGTGGATGCCAGTGCAGAGGCCATTGCCAACTTCCCCGGCTGGACCAGCAGAACCGGCTGGCAGGCGTGCCGGGTGCTGTCCGTGGTGCTGAACACCAGTTTTGGCTCCAGCAGGTCCAGGCTTTCGGGGATCTGTGCAGCCATCTGGCAGAGTAAGGAAGGGTCTGTGAGGCCAAGGGCAGTGCCTGCAGCCCAACCCCTCTCACCTCCTCCAGAAGTACTTTCCAGGTCTTTCCCTTCTAGGCCACCAGGATCCCACCTTTCTAGATGTCTGGCCTACATGGGATGGTTTGTTACAGCATCGCCCAACTTGTCTTCTGTCCAAGCCTTGTCCTCTGACTAGACCATGAGTTTCCTGAGGTCAGGGCATCTGTATGCCGAGGTGAATATGTTCTGTCTTCTGCTGGTCGGGGACATCGTGACCCTTGCCTTATGCTACCGCCTCTCCTGCGTCCGTTATAGATTCCTGTCCAATCCCACCCCAACAGATGCTTTGCTTTGGCTCTTCTCTGGGAGATTTAATCTTCCTCCTCTCTCACCTCTTTCCTGCCAATTTGTTGATTTGAATGATTTAGGCATTTCATAATAGAGCTGGGTGGTCAGAGCACTTTACAGATATCAGTTCATCGCCTCCTTATAACAATTCTGCTAGTTACATACCGTGGTTATCCTCACTGAGCAGATGAGAAAACTGAGGCATGGGTGAATGGCTGAGTGACTTGGTGGTAAATCTTGGGGCAGGAATCGAACCCAGGCTGACTGGCTCCAGGCCCTCTGTTTCTCCCCACTATATCATGAGGCCTCTCGAGCCACTCTGCGATGCTCCAGGATGGTGGTTTGCAGGGAAGAATGCTCTAGTATTCTGACCCCAACCTAGACCAGGCACCAGAAATATCCCTGAGCATCTGGAAGCTCAAGATTGAAATGATTAGTCAGAATGCAAGGAAATGGGTGTTTTTGCCTTCTATAATTTGGTTTTATGAAGACCACTAAATGCAAACATTCTCCTGTTAATTACTGTCTCGAATGTGGTCTGTAATTGAGGGAACTAGAGCTGGGGAGAGTGCACAGTTTCTACCCACTGGAGTGGCAGGCCTGCCCGAGTCAGCTTTCCCAGCCGCCTTGTGCCCACTCTGTTAATTTTAGAAACTCCTCCAGCCTGGGTGTATTATTAGCTTTATGTACAGAGGGCCGCATGGCCCTCAGTGGCCTCTGTATCTACAGGTTTTTTAAAATTTGTTTTGTATTAAAAGATTAAATGGACAGGCATGACAGCAGTGTGTATACAGGGGTGTTTGCACACTGTATGTGTGGATGGGGACACCTGTGTGTGCCTTCTAATGAGTGTACACAGCTGTCTTTGAGTGACGTGCATGCGGTAGAGTGTGTACAGCTCAAGAGCGCCCCATAGACACTGAAACCTCTCTCCCAGAGCCCAGCTCGTTAGTGGATGTGCTGTGTTCTTTGTAGTGAGGGGCGAAGGCTGGCAGGGGTCCTCAGGTCTTAGTCGGGCTCTCCCGGCTGGCACGGAGGCGTTGAGGCTGCAGGAAGGGGTGGTGGGATGTGGGGCAGGGAGGGAGCTGAAGGTGACCTCATGGCACCAGCCTTAGAAGGAGAAGCCTGAGCCCCATGAAGCCCTGTCTGGCCCTGAAGGTCTTGGCTTTCAAAGGAAGGGCCAAACCTGCCCGTCAGGATGCTGCCCTCCCTGCGCTGTGTCCCGGCACCTTCAGCGAAGCAGGCCCTGCCCCCTCCTTGACTCACAGCACCATTTTGAGTCTGGCAAAGGAAACAATTTGGTATGAAATCATTTCTTTGCAAACCTGGAACCGTTCAGGCCGAGGCACTTTGGTTTTTGGTGGGACCCTCTGAAGACGCGAGGAAAGCTGGTCTCATTCTTCCCCGCCGCCTTCCTGGCTTCCCTGCGGTAGAGAATTAAAGATGGCTGAAAGGTTATTTCTCCTGGGAGAAGACATGCTTATTTCTGCCTGGCTTAATACTTTTATCCGTCGTTGTGTAACTGTCTAAATTGATAGCAGAGGGAAATAGTTCTGTGGTGCATTTTGGTCCTGGGGCCAGCCCCGGGATGGCTGGTGCTGGGCAGGTTTCTGGGAACAGTTGGCCGTTCCTTCCAGATGTGGGCCTGTGCCTACGCGTGCCATTTCCACGCTCCGGAAGGTGCCTTGCTGGGCTTGGGGCAGATGGCGCAGTGCAGACCTTTCGTTTTATGCCTCCTCCTCGCATTTCTCAGCTTCTCAGAGGTTTTGCTCTGAGGCTCCCTCCAGACCTCCCTCAGGAGGGACTTGCAGGCACTGTGAGGCCCTTGGAGAAACAGAGCTGGAAGCCCTGGCTGGTCTTCGCCGCACGGAGCGCGGCCTCTCGGAGCCTCAAATGCCCTCATTGCCACTTCCGCCTTTGGTGCTGTCACTGCCCAAACCGCTGCCCCGCTGGGGCAAATGGTCAGATGCTTTCTGACTATAGGGGATGGACTAGAGGGGGGCACCAGAGAGCCAGTGTGGGAGAGGGCCAGGTCAGAATTATGGGAATGATTGCACTGTGGGTAAACTGAGGCCCAGAACAGGGAGGGCACCTGCCTGATGTCACCCAGCATGTCAATGACAAAGCTGGGGCTGGAGCCCAGGCCTGCTGCCTCCCATGATCCTGCTGTGTGTCTGCACCTCCCCTGCGCTCTGTCTGGCCAACAGCCTGTCTCAGGCCACAGCCGACCCTCGGAGGATAAGGAGCCTGGCCCAAGCCTGGGGTGGTACGTCGTGAGCTGCTGCTGGGGCTGAATCAGCCTCTCACCTCTCTCTGGGTGTCACTGTTGGGTTAATGTTTTGGCCTGACGCTCCTTGCGGGGTTGGGGGCAGGAGGCTGGTTATCGGGGTGTGCGCAGAAGGGCTGAGTGAACAAAGAGCCTCTTTCTGCTGTTCCCTGTGTCTGCCCATCTCCACATCATCCCTGGCACCCACGTGCCCGTCTCCCTGAGTGTCTCGGGACACTCAGGGCTTCTCTCTCTCCCATTTGCTCTCCCTTGGAGCATCCTCTTAGTCTGTGACTTGTCTCCTCTCTCTCTTCCTGGTGACTGACCCTTGTGTCTCTGGGCAGATTTTACTGGGACCTGACCATGCTGCTGCTGATGGTGGGAAACCTGATCATCATTCCTGTGGGCATCACCTTCTTCAAGGATGAGAACACCACGCCCTGGATTGTCTTCAACGTGGTGTCCGACACGTTCTTCCTCATCGACTTGGTCCTCAACTTCCGCACAGGGATCGTGGTGGAGGACAACACAGAGATCATCCTGGACCCACAGCGGATTAAGATGAAGTACCTGAAAAGCTGGTTTGTGGTGGATTTCATCTCCTCCATCCCTGTGGATTACATCTTCCTCATCGTGGAGACTCGCATTGACTCGGAGGTCTACAAGACTGCTCGGGCCCTGCGCATTGTCCGCTTCACCAAGATCCTCAGCCTCTTGCGCCTCCTACGTCTCTCCCGCCTCATCCGATACATCCACCAGTGGGAAGAGGTGAGTGGTCAGACCAAACCTCCTGGGGGAAGAGCTATTCCCTCTGGGGGAGTGAAGAACCAGCAGGGAATCTCAGGTAGTTGGACTTGGGCTGTCAGATTGTACCAGGCACACCTGCTCCAAGAGGACAAATGTTAGTAATTTCTTGACCTCTCTTCATGTGCTAGATACTGCACAAAGCACTTTCCATACAGTATCCCACTGACATCTGTAACAACCACAGAGGTTCCATAGAAGTCCATGTAGGTGCTCATTTTTCACATGAGGAAACAGAGACAGAAAGATTAAGTGACCTACACAGGGTTGCACAATTGGTGATTGGTGAACCAGGAATGTGAACTTAAGCTGATGGACTCCAGAGTCTGCGTTGTTAACCGCTGACCTATATTGTAGGCTCTGCGAACTCACAAGCCTTTTGGAGCCAGGCAGGAAATGTGAATAGGTGGAAAGGGCCCGTTGGGGGCCGTAAGGAGTGTGGTAGACTGGGGGAACTGGCGAGCACATCTTCTGTCTGCACTGGGCAGCTTCTCCTCAGCTCCCACCAACTGCTGCCAAGTGGGAATGGGCCCAGGCTTCTAGATTTACAGATTTATCATGAGAAGCAGAAGTCTGGATTTTTGTACAAATTTTATTGGCAACTGTCTTAGGTTGGGTTCTTCTGGAGCAGACCTTGAGACGCAGATGTGCATGGAAGTGATTTTTTTGGGAAGTGTTCCCAGGAAAATTTGGTAAAGGAGTGGGGAAGAGGGACAGGGAAAGGACGCCAAGCAAGGGTGGCACATCAAGCAAAGTCCCCTGGAGGCTGACTTTGGCCCTATCCCACGAGGGTTCCCTGGGGACACGCCACACCTCAGAGCTGTCCCAGCCAGGCCAAAGGAGTTGGAGTGTTTCTGTTCCCTTGCATGCCAGTCATTGGCTCAGGGCACTTCTGTCCCTCAGCACCTGGCAGCCAGAGTGGCTTCAGCCTCTGCCGAAAGGTGCAGGTGCCGGCTGTGGGCAGTGAAAGGCCCAGGGAGGATGGAGTCTTATGCTTAAAAACTGCAATGGACCTGAGGGGCTCTGGGCACTGGCTGCAGGAACTAAATAAACAATTGTGAAAGAACTGGGTGGGCAACAGTGTTCTGAACACACCTAACTCATCCACGGGCTGGGGCAGGCACCTGTGGGAGGAAAGGAGGCGGATGAGGGCTGTGGTTGCAAGAAGAGCAAGTGACCTTGCTGAGTGCTTGGGTCCATATCTGCCAGCCACCCTGTCATGCCATGTGGCAGCAGTGGCAGGCAGGCCAGCCTGGAGGCACCCAGGGTTGGGGGAGACCGGCTGGGAGATGGACCATCTGGGGGCCTGATGCAGGCTGTAGGCTGAGCAAGCTTCTGCAAAGGGGCATTTCCTGCCACCCCTCCCTGCTGCCCTGCTGCTCTCCCGGCCTCCAGGACCCCTGCTTGACTGGACAGGGGCTCTCATGCTCAGGACACAAAGCCCCACCCTAATCCCCAGCAGTAGCCGGCCCTGGCCGGCAGCTCTCGTGGCTGATGGTTGGGCCCCGGCAGATTCAGGTCAGAGGCGTCATGCACAGTTGTGAACACATGTGCCTTGGGAGAAGTGCCTGCGCCAACTTGGCAGAATTGCTCCATGGCAGAAATTCTCTTTGGTTTGGAAAATTTGCATTACTCCTGAGGACAGAGAGGGGCAATGTCTTGCCAAGGTCAGGCAGTGGACCCCTGGCAGAACTGGGGCAGAATCCAGTTAGCTCTCTTGGCTCCAAGCACACAGTGTGGCAGCCCCTGCCTGGCGTAGTGGAATGGCACAACTGAGACCCGAGTTAAAATCCCGGCTCCACACTGCCTAGCTTGTGACCTTGTTGCCACCTTGCTTCTCTGAGCCTCAGTCTCTTTGTGGGCAAAATGAGTGTAAGTCATACCTGGTTTGTAAAGGCCTTAGCGCACAGCCTGGTGCAGAAGAAACATTTGATAAATGCCCTCCCACCCAGTTGTCCCTCAATAGTCTTTGGGTCCTTGCACCTCACTGACAGGGGAGTCAGGCCAAGATTTATTGTCCCCATTTGTCAGGTGAGGAAACAGGATCAGAAGGGCAGGGGTTTCTGACCCAGCCTCCCAGCTCCCGGCTCCGTGCACTTCCTGCTTTCTCAGATGGAAGGGGCTGGCTCTGATTCTGCAGTTGTTCCCTCGTGGCTGTGGCTCAGCCGCCTGTGCCCTGTGCTAGGTGTGCACTGGGACCATGGGGGTGGGGACAATTCGCAGCATGGTGGGGAGTCTGTGACAGGTTGAGTTTGGCTGCCTGTGGGACATCGAGGCTGAGGAGATGTGGGCATGCGGTCTGAGCTCGAGATGACAGGGGACCGGCCCTGCGTGGTGGCTCAGTTTGCTCTGGGGGCTGTGAAGAAGGATAGAGGTGTGTTTCCCGAAATGCCCTGACAGGCATGTCTCCGGGTTTTTGTCCCAGGGGAAATGCAGGGCCAGGTTGTCTCCGTCAGGCCCCGAGACACCTCCACCCTTCTGTTTGTCTTGGACTGTCATTAAAAGCCAAGACATGGTGACTCTTTTCCTTCTCTGGCATAGGTTTGTGTCTCCGGGCCCAGCCCCCCTGGGGGCCGACCTCATGTACCCCTTGGGCCTGGGCCTGGGGCTGTGTTGTTTGGCAGGCGGGGAGGGGCGGGGCGGGGCCGGGGACAGAGCCGAGCTCTTCTTTTACTGCTCACCCCGTGCATCCTGGGAGCTCAGCCAGCGCTGCTGTCTGTGCCTCTGCCCCTCCGGCCTGGCTGCCCTCTGGGCTACCCACACTGGCCAGGCAGGCTCTGCTCCCGGCCTTCCTCCGGGGGAGGCAGAGGCCCCAGGAGGCCTCAGGCCAGGCCTCTGGACGGGACAGGCTATGCTCTTGTGGCAGGAGGGGAGACCCCAGGAGGCCAGATGGGTGGCGCCTGCCCCTGCCCCTTCTCTCTCCTACCAGCTGGGGAGAGAATTGCTTTGAGCTCATTTCTGCCGGGCACATCGCCCAGCCTGGGGCTCCCCCTGGACCCCTAGGACTGGACTGGGCTTTCCCTGCTGGCCTCAGGAGCCCTGCCTCCAAATCCCTAAAACCTGCTGCAGCGCAGGGGCCTCTCCCTGCTGCAGCTGGGTGTGGAGGCGGCCGCAGAAAGACCCTCTGAGGCTCCAGGTCCACACGGGCCTGGGAAGAGAAGTGTTTAGTACAGAAAATGCTGTCCTAATCTCCTCTTCCAAGTCCCCATGTGACTCTCTCCTTCTTTGGGCCTCAGTTTCCCCAATTGTCAGGTATATGCTAATGTTGTCTGAGGCTTTGGTTTCCTGGGGCCAGTCCCAGCTCCCATCCCCCTCGGCGAGGACCCTGCTAGCTGATCCTGAGCACCTGGTCGCGGCTGACAGGGCCTGCAGGAAGAAGCCGGGCTTGGGGCTGGAGGGCCGCCTCCCAGGGAGGGGCAGCTTTGGCCCAGGCTTCAGCCGCCCCCCAGGCCGGGCCCAGCCCAGCCCCACACTGGGAGGTTTCCCACGCATGGGAGCAGGTTTGGGACTCAGGGTAGGTGGAGTGGTCTAGGGCAGGTGCAGGCCACCATCTTGGGAGATGCCAGCCTCTGCCTCCATCCTGGGTGATTCAGGTCAGCATCCTCCCTCCCAAGCCTCTCCCCTCCCTGTGAGGTGTGAGCTTGCTACAGGCACAGAGGCTATTGTTAGAAGCTGTGGTCGCCCCCTTCAGCTGTGCCTGTGCAGGGCCCTGCACCCCAGCAGCCCATCTGGAAGCCTCTCTCTCCCTGGGCAGCCTGCAGTGGCCAAAGGGGGCTGGAGGCAGAGGCCAGGCCGGGCGGCCGTGCAGCCTCTGATGAGTCCCCTGCCCTGGGGCCTTGATTTCTCCATCTCTCTCAGAATCAGGTGTTTGGCATCTGCGAGAGGTGGGGATGACACTGGGGTGGGTTGGGCCTCTGCTGGCCCCAGGAGGGACCCAGTGTGACCCTCAGTCCAGCTGTCTCTGGGCTGCGGCCAGGAGGCCTCTGTGTTCTGTCGGCCCTTGGATTGCTGTCCTCGATGTGGACGCTTGTTCCTGAGGCACAGGTGGAAGTTGCTGCTCTTCTGTTCTTCCGTGAGGAGAAATGAGTCTGTGGGAGGGAACTCAGCCAGCCTGGGGAGCCTTGGGGAAGCTCAGCGGCAGCCTGCTCTCTGCAGGACGTGGAAGTCTGTCCAATTTCTGGCCTCTCCTCAGGACTGAGAAATCAGGCTTTTGGAGAGCTGGGAGAGAGGGAAGGAAGGCAAGCAGCGTGTGCTGAGTGCCTGCTGTGTGCCTGCTGTGGACGTTATTTCACCTGATCCCCAAGACAGCCCTGAGAGCTAGCGGTTACTGACCCATTCCACAGATGAGAACACTGAGGCTCAGAGTGGAAAAGGCACTTGCCCAAAGTGGAAGACGTGTTGCTCTGTCCTTGCACTGCAGTTAGAAGCTGTAGAAGGAGTAGAAGCAGGGCTCCTCCGAGTGCCACGCGAGGCAGAGGGAGCTGCTCGGGCCATCCACCTGGTGAGGCTTGAGGTGGCCTGGAAATGAAGATGCCCAACCCCCACAGTCAGAACCAACATGGTAAAAGGGGGTTTTAATGAAGTATAAGGAGCAAGGCAAATATTTGCCCAGCACGCTGACTCCCAGGTGGCCCGTGGCCCAGCCCACAGCGGGGACACACAGGTGTTCAGCAGCCTCTCCCAGCAACGCCAGCCTTGCTCTCGGCAGCCACGTCCTGGGTGCTATCGAGTGTTGGAGGTTGGGCGAGGCCTCGAATCCAGGGCACCCTGTGAGCCTCCACCGGCTCTTCCCAGGCAGCTCCCACTTTGCCGTGCTGGCGCTTTGGCTTTGTGGTGTGAGAAGCACCCGCAACACGCCCGCCCCACTGCGCCGGCCACCCAGCATCCGCGGCCTTCCTCACCTCGGCGCCAGGCGCCGCCAGCGGCCCCCGCAGGGCACGGAGGCTGTGTCCACCTGCAGGAAG